CGTGTGTGTGTGTGTGTGTGTGTGTGTGTGTGTGTGTGTGTGTGTGTGCATCTATAAAAAAGAATTTATTTTCAAAATATATTAGCTGCAAAATTTCATAATCTCTTTGAAGTCGAAATTTAAAGCGTGAATATTTATTAATGTAATAATTAAGTGTCTTTCCAGACAAATTCGCATAGTTGCACAACAATTTGCATAAAAAATTATCTAATTTCTATCATGCAGACGTACGTAAAATGTGATTGAATAATTTTCTTTATGCATATATGGTATTGCAGCTATGCATGTTTGTTTGGATAAACCCTAATGTATTGGTTTTTTTATTAACACGTCTAAAATATTTTTCTATACTTAAAATAGACAATTAAGTCTAAAAATTCTCAGATTTAATCAACATTTGAAATATCTTTAGTGGGTATCGGTGCGGTAATTATTGAGCAGTATTTTTGAAAAACATGAATTAATATTGTAATATACGAGGGTGAGTCAAAAATTATCTGCACTTTTGCACTTTTGCACTTCCACAATTTTTTCCCATAAAAGTAGGGGTTCAACAAGTACATCATTTTTTTACATAGTCTCTTTGCTTTTTAATACAAAGCTTGGTCCAGCGGTCCACAAGCTTTTGTATTTTCTCGAGAAGATTTTTGGTTGGCAGCCATCCCAGACAGCACAAAACCCTAATAGAAGACAAAAAGATGTCTTTTTTAAGATGTCTTTTCGGCTAAGCGAAAAGATATCTAAAAGATGACGAAAAGATGTCTTTTTAAAGGTGTCTTTTGGATAAAAGTAAAAGATATCTTAAAGACATCTTTTACTTTCATCCCAAAAGACAACTTTAAAAAGACATCTTTTCGTCATCATTATATAGTAATCTTTTTGACAAGGCGAAAAGTCGACTAAAAGATATCCATTCGTATAACCTAAAAAAAATTAATATAGCTATTACATTTGTTATACGACGAATTTTTCGAGCGTTCCGCCGGCTTGTTTATCTGATGATAAGCTACAACTGATAACTTTTTCTGTAATTGGCTACAGTAATTTTTGCTCTGAGTCATATATGTAATTACCCAGATAACCTGCAAATCTGTTCGGACAAGTAACGACAAATAC